ACTTAATATGCCCAAAAATTGACAAGAGCCTGATTCCACCGCGCTGCCTCACATAATATTAAATCTGCACTACCCCCTTTCCACTCCAGGGAGCTTTGAATACCGCATCGATCTCGCCATATTTCTCATGGACCTGAAGGAAATGCGGAATAAAGCTAAAAGTCAAGTCTCGAAAGAAAGGAATGCATCTAATCAAGCCGAAACGAAGACAGCTTGTTGGCTGGAGGGAGAGCTGAGCCAGAAACAAAATCAAAAACACACCGGAAACCGAAACAAACGAGGCACGGAACGCAACGTTTAAAAATTTGAAATTCCAAACAATACAAGATGTGAGATGCTAGTTTACGAAACCTGCAAACAGCGAAAAAATAAAATAAAACAAATAACAGGTTAACTTCCCGCTGGTGGATTCCTGAAAACATATCGCTCGCTTTCTATTCGTTTCTTTTACCTTTCTTTTAGTTTCTTAAAAAAAATAATTCTCTGCTGAAGAGGGGACAAGGGAGCTGACTCCTCTCAAATGAAATAAAGCTCCGGCGTATTGATTACCCTAGTATTGATCCCGATTCTCTCCCCCTTCCGTCTGCTCGTCCCGACCCTCTCGACGGATTCCTGACTGAATGCCATTACCTTTTTTCCCTCAGTGAATTTCTTTCTTTCTTTCTTTCTTTCTTTTCTTCTTTTTTTTTGTTGTCCGTTCACATTTGTCTCAAGTTGACATTTTTTTGTCTGTTGGGTGCTTCCTGTGTGTTTGTCTCAGACTGTTGTGTTCCCTCTCTTGTTTTTAAAAATAATTAATTGTAGTTTAGTTCATGTTTGTGCATAGAGGTCGGTCTAGGTTTGTGTGGGCATAAGTAATATATCTAAGTGCATAGAAGTCTGTCTAGGTTTGTCTCATTGTGTGATTGTTATTTTTTTTTTGTTTGTAGGTGGTTGGTGGGTGCTCTGGTGTGGTTTGGTTTTTCTTTCCTGTCTATTGCCCTTATCTCCTCTCCTTCTTTTTTTATGTTTGTTACTCTCTTGTAACACCTCTAAGCATCTGGCGCTCATAATATGACATTTGCGAGCGCTGTAAAACCTCTACTGACTAAAACTAAAATTATTTGTTTTTGTCTTTTTGTATTTTTTGTCTATCTGCCTGCCTGCCTCAGCGTACACACTCACACACACACACTCACTCTCACACACACACACACGCACACACACTCACACACACATTCACACACACACTTACACACACACTCACACACACACACACACATGCACACACACACACACACACACACTCCCGACACGCACAAAGATACCTTTTTAGTCTTAATTTTCATTTTGTATATTCGAAAGATGCAGTTACAGCAAAACATGTCTGTCGTTGATTAGTCGTGACTGAGTTGTTAGTCGAAAACAGTGGGTGACATAATAGTCAAAGCTCTAGATGTGGGTGGTTGGCGGGTGCTCTGGTGTGGTTTGCTCCTTCTTTCCTATCAAATATCTGTCGTCCTCATCTCCCCTCATTCTTTTTCGTGTTTGTTACTACTCTCTTGTGACACCTCTATCTTTTGCACTTGTATGACCTTATTGTGTCGCAAGTGTCGTAAAACTCATACTGAAACTAAAAAAAGCCTCTTCAGACCTCAAAATGTGGATGAGGGTCAGGTGCCCTGGTGTGGTTTGGTCCTTCTTTCCTATCAAACATCTGTCGTCCTCATCTCCCCTACATCTTTTTTGTGTTTGTTACTACTCTTTGGCACGTATAATATGCCCTTATTGTGTTGTAAGTGCCGTAAAACACGTCTGAAAGAAGACTTTATAATGTAAATGACAGTAGCATTCAATATTCCTAACTTGGGGAGCCGGATTTTCTTGATTTTAGGCTTATAAGCATTGAATTATTTGAATTTTTCTTTCGCCATGCATCGTTATGAAGTACTCCAGAATTGATCAATTGCTTTCCAATTGCACATTTTACAAATTCGGTGAGCGACCGCTGTTCATCAAAGCGGGTGGTTGGAGGGGGTCTTTGGGGAAGCCCTACTCCTTTTCTTTTCCTGCATTTCTGTATGTCTGTCTTACTTGTTTCTCCAGCACTGAATAACCGTTAGTAAGTCGGTGTGCTTCTTTTTACTTAGACAAACGAACAGTGTTCATCAAAGCTAGATCTACATGAAAAAAAGGCAGACGCCATCAATAAAGAAGAATTGATTTTTGTTAAAATATTTTTTTTTTTCATAGATCTTTTCCAAGGATTAGATTAGTGGCAAGTAATTATAGTGACGGTGGAAAGCAATACGTGATCGCCTAGTCCCGAAGCTCTAAGTTGCGCTTGCTGAGGGCACTCAGGCAGCTAGTGCTCTCTCTCTCTCTCTTTCTCTCTCTCTCTTTCTCTCTCTTTCTCGCTCTCTCTCCCCCTTCTCTCTCTCTCTA